TTAATGANAATTAAAATAATTTTCCTTTAAAATAATTATTTTTCAATTATGTTTTTAAAAATATAATTTAATTTTAGCTAAAAGATATAAATAACAGATTGAGAAAAGATTATTCCTTCATCGAAAGAAATGGATGGCCTGTTGCTTTATTTCAAGAACATTTATTAACTGTGTTAGATTTATTACATGATCAATATATACGTATACAGAACTGTGATAAAAGTAATAGAGAATATTTACATCATACTCATTCCTTCCACGTTGGATCTCTAAATAACATTCCAGCTCTTCCATCTCCTACATCTCCTATGAATCTAGCGCTTCCATCTCCTACAAATCCAACAAGCTGTGATATTACAGATGGAAAAACAAGTATACCTCAAAAGTAAATTAATATTTTTATTTCAAATTGAATTTTAAACAACCGAACACCGGTAATTTAGTTTGTCGTGGGTTTGGACGTCGTCAAACTGCCGGCTACATATTATTTCTTTTCATTTGAATCTTGCCTTTGATTTAGTATAATTTCATATAAATATATGGGATTAACTGTAACAATAAATTGTAATTGTCTTATATATATTATTTCATTTCATCAATATTCACTTGTTATTTTATTAGTAAACAATAAGCATTTTCTTTTACATACATTACATATTTAAATTAATTATATGATGTTTTGAATTTTTTTATTCCTCAAGAATCTGTCTTAAGCTCTTAAATTTTTTATAGATTTATGAAAGACTACCTCTAAAAATATTACAACCAACAAATTTACTTTTTCTATGTCCACATTTTAAAATTTGCTTATTTATACAGTTACTTGCTAACTTTAAATTTGATTTTCATACTTCTCCTATTTTTGAGTTTAAATACTTATTTTTATTGAACATTTGTCCTCATTAAAGTCTAAAAACTTTGCAAATGTGCATATGTAACCTTGTTGAATTAATCCCTTATTTTTCACTTGTTATTACTGACCAGAATTAACTCTACTTCACCTTTAATGTGGAAAGCATGAGTTTCTGGAACTAGATCAATCATTTTCTCTGCATATGAAACTTTTCTTTACACACTTCATACTTCAAAAAGTAAAAAAACAACAGATATCGGAGTAATATAGCCACCAGAGTGCCCCACATGACAGAATACATCATAAAGCACTCATTTCTGCAATGAAACATCACTTTTGATTACAATCAAATCTGTTGATTGTAATCTGGGGGAATCATTTATATATTGACTCAGTTTTTTCACTAGAAATCATTTACTCTTGTTTATATATTTTATTTCTATTATTGCATTGTTTATTATTCTGTTCTTATTTTAATTTAACATTATTCTATCCATTTAAATTTTATATCTTCTACTGGATCTATTATTTATAGAATCATAAAAAGTCTTTTATGAAATATTCTTGCTGACTTTTAACAGATATTTAACATTAGTAGTAATTAAATGAATTAAAAGCAATTTTATTAAATTTTGTTAAATTATAATTGTAAGTAATAAAAATAATTTTAATATAATGGACATATCATACATTAACAGCCTAATTTATGTTAATATATCAATTTATATTTGTTTAGATGTATACCTATGCCAAAATGCATATCAGACCTGTTGGTTCCTCTTCAGTTTGGCTTTTTTTTACAAATATATATTGATATATATGTAAAAGTTAAACTTTTGACCAACATTTATAGTATATTTTATATAAAATTTTTCATTTATCCATTATGATTTTACATTATTATCATTTCTTTTGCAATTTTCACTATCTAATATAATTTAAAATACAAATTAAACTTCTAACATTACAGTTTTAACTTCATTTTTAAGTTCTTATACTTTGTTTTCTTCCTGCTTAAAACTAACAAATACTAAATATAATTTTAACCATCATAATAATATTTAACAATTCAGTGTCTAACNACTGTTACTTTGGTAGCATCATTTACAACTAAATTTAATGAATGAGAGAGATGCACGAGGTACAGAAAAAGCTCTAGAATTTATTTTCCTTAAATTTACGATTTATGTATCCGTTTGTCAAAAAATTTGTCTTTCCACTTTTTTCTCGAGACTACAAATATTCGAGTACAAAGTAACTGGTTTCAACTTATTTCTACTTAAGAAGTAGTTAAATAATTAAGCGATTAGGGAATTGGGGACATAAACAAAATCCTGATGAAAGAGCTGAAATTTTACTTAAAAGCTTAACCAAACCAATCTATAGCTGAGTACAGTGGGGCTGATTTCTTTGAAATATTAGATGTAATAAAGACAGAAATTTTTCCAGTTCAAAGAGAGTGACCGAAAAGTTGTAAATTTTGGAAATTTCCATGGACAACACCTGGTCCTAAAACGAATTAGTTAGAAAACAAATGACTATTAAGTTTAACATATTTAGATTTTTACAGCTATGGTGAGAAACATTTAAAATTTACAACAACCCTGTCGCGTTCTTTGAGATATACTAGTGATGCGACAAAAGAGGCATTTGACATTAACTGGTATCGGCACCCTCAGGATTTGGCAGCCCACATGCATGCACGCACTGCACACCTAGCAGGACCGTCTCTGATTCCATTCGTAGGGAGCTATTTGACTAAGTGGTTAAGATTTAAAAAAGTAAAGAAGATTTTATGTTATTTTTATGTACGTTTCTTTACAAAGCTATATTTAATTATAATTATCTTTAAAAGTATATTCATACAATTGAAAAATATTTTGTACCAGGTATCCACCATATTATATTTTATTTCATCAAGTAAGTTTTTATTATTTTATTTATAATTTTAGCACTTATATCGTGGCTAGCGACTCAGAATGTAATTGTGATATTGAAAATTTATTTTAAAAAAGTTTTGGCTCAAGATCATATAATGAAAAAGAAAACATTATTAAAAGAGAAAGGCCAATGCCTAAGTTAAATATAAACACTTCAATAAAAAATTTGTTTGACATTTTCATGATAAAATGGCTCTGTAGATGCATAAAAATGCAAAAATTGTTTTGTTGGCTTGCCTACTGTTTTCAAATGAAATTAGTGTGTGGAATAAGAATGGCTTTGACAATTTAGCTGGCAAAAGACATGAAAAATCGTCGATTCTCTCGTATTTGAAGCAATTTGGAAATCAAAGTGGAATAGAATTTAACATTAGTAAATAATATAAAATAAATATTGAAAATTATAACGAGATAGTTATGGCTAATAGATATATTTAAATTAATAGATGTTATATGTTTTTATCAAAGCGAGAATCGGCATTTAGAGGGCATAGGAAATCTATTGATCCTAATAACAGAGGTAATTATATTGAACTTGTTTATTTATTAATTACGTCAGATAAATAATCTATTAAAAATACATTTAAAGAATTAACTGATTGCCCCTGGAAGTCGGCTTCTTACAGAAACACAGCTTCCCTATCATCAAATGTCACGGCACGCCACTGCAATCTACTAGTACCTGTGTACTAGACCCTCCTTTCATTTGTAGTTTTACCTGCAATAAATGATTATTTTGCTTTCATTTTGTAATCACTTACTTATATCATTGTTACACTCACACATGTACAATTTTGTTTGATTTTGACAACTCCTCCTTGGTGCGCTAATTTTTATGGCAATGAGTATATAACCAAACTGAGAATTAAGATGTTTTATTTAAATGTTACATTGTATATAATTCAATTTTAAGCTCAAATAATTAAAAATAAAAATATAACTGAAAATATTAATATATGTATGTATGTATGTATGTATGTATGTATAAAATTACATAATGATATAAAATTAGACAATTATTTCATATCTAAAGAAGAAAAGTTTCATTGCATAAATTTTGTTCTATTTGCTGTATTTTCTCAATATAATCTTTGAGGTTGTAGTTCAACTAATTTTTGAATTTTCATTTTAAATTTTATGAAAGCTTTTCTCCATTTGTTATTTTCTATTTTCTTGATGGTATACTGCAGAATCAACACAAAAACTGTACAAGTGGCACTATCAAACAATACTGGATTCAGAAGTGCCCAAAGGGAGGACTAACTCAGAAATTAAAAATATTTGAATAATTAATAAATACCTTTTATTGACATATGCATGATGAGTATATTGTAGATGGTCTGATAAACCAGACCACTTGACCAATGGGCTTGCTTTATGGAGTTTTCCATTTCCATATATATAAATTGTTAAATAAATGCAGAATTTATGTATTTAATATGTCAACCTTAAATTTTTAGGTAATGTTTATTCTGATAAATTCAATTAGATTATCAGAATAAATATATTGAGACTATTTTTTAAAGAGTAAGATTGATACTTATATTTCTTCCAGAACTCTCTCTTCTGAAGATATTGAAAAGTTATACACAAAAAAGTTTAGTTTTATTATTGTTTTTTCATCAATATATTATTTCTGTTTAAATTAATAAAACAATTTTTTAATGGTTGGTGTTTTTGAGTCTCTCATTTGCATTACATTACAAATTACTATCAATTACAGAATGTTTAAAATTCAATTTTAACATTTTTCTAATTTTATTTTTATCTGAATTATAATTATTAAATCATATACAGTCGCCCCCTCTATAACACTGTTGATTATTCCATTTTATATAAATTCTATGTTTTACATAAATTCCATATTCCATAGTTGTTAGATTTTACAAGTATGTGAGCCATCCACAGCCCGGCACACTTATTTGTAAATGGTACAACATGGAATTCATATAAAACAGAATTATCAAGTGTTATAGGGGGGTCGACTGTATCATAAAAAATATCATTAATGAATTTATAAATATATTATAAGTAAAAATAAATAATTTGTACAAGCAGTACATAACAAATAGAAATTTATTTAAAATTTTGAACCATATAATCTATAATGCAATAAAATAGTAACATAATAGGAATAATCTTTATATCATACAATTTTATTGTTTCAGTTGGCCTGTTCAGAAAAGACAAGAAAATATAATTAAAGCTAGTCACATTATAAATGAAAATTTTACAATTATGATTAAAAGGCAATTTGGTAAGTAAAATTATTACAATTTTTATAATAATTTTAAATATTATATTTAAATGTTTTATGAAGTTGTTAAATCCATTAAACATTATAAATTTTCTAGTGTTTATCATGTGTTATTTTTATCAATAAATCAGTTTGCTTTTTTAATATACCCTATTTCTAATATTTGATATTTATCAGAATAAGATCATTTTAATTCCTGTAAAATATCAACTTGAATATATACTTTTTCTCTTTTTGGGCTTCAATTTGAAAAAATTGTAGACATAAATTCCTACTGTTATCCGTCCATCTGTCTTTCTTTAATATTGAGAACAGAGTTAGATAGATGAAAGATGAGACCAGATCTGGAAGCCTTAGGGTAGGAGGCCCTAATTAACTATATACAAACTTCTGATGCAAACCAGAAGTCAAGTTATTTCAATTCAAAAAGTTTTCCCTGAAAGATATTTGATAGATGACCAGCATGACTCTATTGTTAAAGGAAAAGTATGATGTACAGGAGCAAGCCACTTCTAATTTGAGGTGGAAAGCATACATTTTAAATGAAATAAATTAAAAATATGATTAAAAATTGCAGCTTGGCATTATGACGATGTCTCAATAAATAATTGCTCGTATCAATATAGCTATAATTTGGCTATTAATGAGGACTTATCACACACACCACAATCAAAAATATGATCATTTCGATTTTATTTTAGAAATTTATAAATGTTAATAGTTTATGAAAATTGTCTGCTCCAATTGAAGAGGGGTCAAAATATCCAAAATGCATATTTTGGAGTTAATTAAAAGAATAAAGTTCTAATCTGGTCACCTTTTTCATTGTGGTGTGATAAGTCTTCATTAATAATCAAATTGGTAGCTATATTCATAACAGAAAAAATATAATAAAGGATGTGAAGCTTTTCATAATAAATTGAATACATACAGTGGTAATAGATTAATGAACATAATATGTTCTAAAACTTTGTTCACTATCTGAATTGTTCGTTAACTGATTATCGATTTACTGTAGGTTTTTATGAGAATTTGATTAATTTGTTCTGGAGACCCTAAAAAATAAAAATATATACTTTCTTACTACGTTTATTTATATGTAATAATAAAAATACATACATATATACACAGTCTTGCATTTTTATAAGTCATGTTTTTTCTGTTTGTGGGGGTTAAAGAATCTGTCTAATGTCAATTGCTTTTCTCTCTTCTTCAGGATTTTTCAGAAGTAATTAATAGCATTGTAATTGTACAGATCTCTAAGCCTATTAACCTCAACCTGGTTTGGATGCCATTCTAAGACCATTGTTATGACATCCTCACACTTCTTCAAAAGATCTTTAATTAATAGCAAATATTGGCATTAATCCTCTTTTTCAGAAGAAAACATATCTTGCCGAGTTTCTTGGTGTTCTTCATTCAAGAGTTCTTGGCATTTTTCTGTTGTCAGATCAATTTCAGGTTCCATTATGAGCTCTTCAATGTTCTTTATTTCTCAGATGTGATTTTCATTACTCCTTTAGCTGCTTGAGTCTTCTTGATTATACTGTATCTTTGTTAGATAAGATTGAACTGTGGCCTACTGTAGACCTGTTCAAACCATACTGCCCAGCAACATCAGACATCTTTTGCCTACTCTCTCTCTACCTTTGCTATTATACTCTCACCTTTTGAAAATAAAAACCCATGCAAAACTTAAGGAGTACCTGCCTGACAAGAATTGTTTCTGTTGGAAAAATAAATGGCTGGAATTACAAGGGAGAGTTTCAAAGTTCGGAGGAATACTATCCGATCAGTATATACGGTACCGAGTTGAGCGTTGATGTCAATGTCTCCAGCACTCTGAAAATTTTGAATTGTTGCCCAAAGATAAGGGAAGACCAATTGATATTCATTATTTTATGTCACTTCTTCTTGTGTTCATTATTTGAACATGTGTTCATTGTCAGAACATAAAAATCTTTTGCAAAAGTGTTCATTATCTGATTTTTTCGTTAACCGATCACCCACTGTATTTTGATATTATTATATTTGATCCTAGCATTATGTTATTGTAATAATAGAGCACAAAATTGCTTCAATAATATAATAATAATTTCAGCAATCATTATTATTTTATTGAAGTAAGGTAGTAAAATTTTCTAAAGTTGAAACCAACACTTATTTACAGTAATATTGATAATAATATTTATTATAATTCACTGAATATAATAAATTATGGTTGTTGATGATGACATAACATTTTGTTAGATTAATAATAAAAAAATGTCATAGCATAATCACTGACCTTAAAATGCCATTACTTTGTTTTTAGAAAGTTTCATGAATAACAATTTTCAAAAGTTTCTACTTATTTCATATTTGATAGAATTTGATTTTTTTAACACAAAAAATTGTAATCAACAAAGATCAGATGATTCATTCTTTATAATAAATTTCTTTTAACTAGTTAGCTCTATTGATTGATATTGATAATTCTATTTATGTATCACAATTTTTAATGTTAACAAAATGAATTATTTTTTTAGACTATTTATTTTGAAACATTTAAGTTTGATGAAGTAATAATAATAAAGTATGATTGTGTTTGAAATAGAAAAACATTACTTTTTAAAGATTAAAAAATATATTTTTGAAATAAAACTTTTTTTATAGAACAGCCAAGAGTAGGAATTATATCGACTGATGGAGATTACTTAGGGTTTATATTTGTACAGCATCATTGGAGTCTTCATAAAGTGAGAGAAGCAATAGAAGAACAGGTAATTAAAATAATTTTCCTTTAAAATAATTATTTTTCAATTATGTTTTTAAAAATATAATTTAATTTTAGCTAAAAGATATAAATAACAGATTGAGAAAAGATTATTCCTTCATCGAAAGAAATGGATGGCCTGTTGCTTTATTTCAAGAACATTTATTAACTGTGTTAGATTTATTACATGATCAATATATACGTATACAGAACTGTGATAAAAGTAATAGAGAATATTTACATCATACTCATTCCTTCCACGTTGGATCTCTAAATAACATTCCAGCTCTTCCATCTCCTACATCTCCTATGAATCTAGCGCTTCCATCTCCTACAAATCCAACAAGCTGTGATATTACAGATGGAAAAACAAGTATACCTCAAAAGTAAATTAATATTTTTATTTCAAATTGAATTTAAAATTATCTAAAATATTTTAAATTTATAACAAATATATAATTTATGTGATAATTTTTTATTTCAATTACTTATATTAACAAGGAATAATTATAATATGATTTTTTAAATTTTTATCTCATTTCATCTGCAATAAAATATTTTAGATATTGTTTACCCATATGTTTTAATTAAGTGTTAGAGAAAAACTTAAATATTTATGAAATAAAACAGATTTTTATTATAGAATGCTCTGATCATGTCTTAAACTTATTTTTTTAATTTTTTATTTTATTGGTGCTAAGTAAATATTTTTGCATGACCATAAAAAAATAGATAAATGCAGTATTATCAGAAAAACACCAAAACAACCATACCAATAAAAAAATAACAATTACATTAAAAATTATTTAATTAATTTTTTCTAATTTTATGTTTGAATTTTCATTATACAATAATGAGATTTTAATACTTTATGTTTGAAAATAATTAAACATTTTATTTATTTTTGTAATAAAAATATTTTCAAATCATTAACAAAATTTAAGAATATTTTGACAGTCTGTTCAAAGAGTTATCTTCTATAATTTTTATAACTAAAAGTTAGATCTCATTGACACTCACAGTAACCTTATTAATATTATATTTTTTTAAATATTTTTATATAAATATTGTTTTATTCCCTGTAATTTTTTATATTATGAATTATTTCTAATTTACATGATACTCAAAAAATAATTTTAAAGAAATCTGTAATAAAATTCATCTTATATTATTTCTTTTCATTTGAATCTTGCCTTTGATTTAGTATAATTTCATATAAATATATGGGATTAACTGTAACAATAAATTGTAATTGTCTTATATATATTATTTCATTTCATCAATATTCACTTGTTATTTTATTAGTAAACAATAAGCATTTTCTTTTACATACATTACATATTTAAATTAATTATATGATGTTTTGAATTTTTTTATTCCTCAAGAATCTGTCTTAAGCTCTTAAATTTTTTATAGATTTATGAAAGACTACCTCTAAAAATATTACAACCAACAAATTTACTTTTTCTATGTCCACATTTTAAAATTTGCTTATTTATACAGTTACTTGCTAACTTTAAATTTGATTTTCATACTTCTCCTATTTTTGAGTTTAAATACTTATTTTTATTGAACATTTGTCCTCATTAAAGTCTAAAAACTTTGCAAATGTGCATATGTAACCTTGTTGAATTAATCCCTTATTTTTCACTTGTTATTACTGACCAGAATTAACTCTACTTCACCTTTAATGTGGAAAGCATGAGTTTCTGGAACTAGATCAATCATTTTCTCTGCATATGAAACTTTTCTTTACACACTTCATACTTCAAAAAGTAAAAAAACAACAGATATCGGAGTAATATAGCCACCAGAGTGCCCCACATGACAGAATACATCATAAAGCACTCATTTCTGCAATGAAACATCACTTTTGATTACAATCAAATCTGTTGATTGTAATCTGGGGGAATCATTTATATATTGACTCAGTTTTTTCACTAGAAATCATTTACTCTTGTTTATATATTTTATTTCTATTATTGCATTGTTTATTATTCTGTTCTTATTTTAATTTAACATTATTCTATCCATTTAAATTTTATATCTTCTACTGGATCTATTATTTATAGAATCATAAAAAGTCTTTTATGAAATATTCTTGCTGACTTTTAACAGATATTTAACATTAGTAGTAATTAAATGAATTAAAAGCAATTTTATTAAATTTTGTTAAATTATAATTGTAAGTAATAAAAATAATTTTAATATAATGGACATATCATACATTAACAGCCTAATTTATGTTAATATATCAATTTATATTTGTTTAGATGTATACCTATGCCAAAATGCATATCAGACCTGTTGGTTCCTCTTCAGTTTGGCTTTTTTTTACAAATATATATTGATATATATGTAAAAGTTAAACTTTTGACCAACATTTATAGTATATTTTATATAAAATTTTTCATTTATCCATTATGATTTTACATTATTATCATTTCTTTTGCAATTTTCACTATCTAATATAATTTAAAATACAAATTAAACTTCTAACATTACAGTTTTAACTTCATTTTTAAGTTCTTATACTTTGTTTTCTTCCTGCTTAAAACTAACAAATACTAAATATAATTTTAACCATCATAATAATATCTTAAAATGTATAAATTTAAAAAGGTAAGAATTTGCTATGACTCACATTTCTATAATTTCTTTAAATTTACAAATATTAATAAATTATCTATAATCATACCCCATAATAGCACTGTTAACTATTTTTTGTAACACATTGTTAAGATGTATTTTTCAGATAAAGGTGAGGAAACACCTTTCTGTTTTCAGGATTTTATCTGAAAAATAGTTAATAGTGCTGTTACTGAGTGTGATTATAGATAATTTATTAATATTTGCAAATTTAAAAAAATTATACAAATGTGAGTAGCAGTAAATTCTTATCTTTTTAAATTGTATACATTATAAGATATTATTGTAATGGTTAAAATTATATTTAATATTTGTTGGTCAAATAAATATTGGTCAAAACTTTAACTTTTATGTATATATATTATATTTATAAGAAATGCCAAACTGAAGAGGGACTGACAGATCTGAAATGCATTTTGGAATAGGTATACAGTCGACCCCCCTATAAGATAGAGATACATTCCATTCTTTAGGAATCTGATTTCTTACGAATCCTTCCAATCACAACCCGAGACGTATCAAGTTTACGGACTACGGCTGTTTGAAAGATTTTCTTCCATAAAATTAATCGATTCTAGACTAATCCGACTCAACATTTCCAAAACACGTATATATTTTTTGGAAATAATCCGTATAAACTACGCTATAAATAAAAAATTGTAGGATTACTTACCGAGTGTCACCATTCGACATTGCCATTACTCAACATTGTTTTTGTCGCGGAACAGCTCACCAAACCGCGGCCGATTTCTAATAACTTATTTTTCTGCTAATAGTTCCTTGAACTTCGGAGACATCATTAATATAAATAATTTTAATCGCCGTTGAATAAGAAATGTTTCTTTCACAAGAAATGTATAAAATTACAGTACTGTATTAGACTTACGGTACCTAATTTACATACTGACAGACGATAGTTAGCGTAAAAATCTCCGTAGCGTGGCGCCACGCTAGACGGCGGAAATTATATATTTAATTATAACAAAGTTACAATAAGTTAATATATAATTATATATACAGTACCTAATTTATATATAATTTATATAATACTGTCCAGACGATAGAAATCTCTCCGTAGCGTGGCGCTACGGACGGCGGGAAAGTAGTTCGGCTGCCCGATGACGTTTGAGGTGTTTATAGGGAACTTTTACTATTTTTTACGGATACCGGTAGCAATTTTTTCGTAGTTTTATAGGAATCGTAATTATAGGGGGTCGACTGTACTTCTAAACAAATATAAATTAGGCTGTTAATGTATGATACATATGATACGTCCATTCCATTATATGAAAATTATTGTTACTATTTACAATTATAATTTAACAAAATTGAATAAAATTTAACAAATATTTTTTGGTTTTGTTAAGCAGTACTCATATTACTTACATTGAAAAATTAGAGTAAGTATAAACTGTAAACTTAAGTCACTCATTCATATAATGCACTAATAGACAACATGGATCTGAATTTAATTTTTCAACCTTATATAATTTGCTTGTTCATTTACATTGTTATAAAACTATGAATTTTATATAGTTAATTCAAGTTTTAAGAAATTAAAGAAATTATTGATAATCTGTTAATTAAATATTTCAAATTATTATTTTTTTCAAAATTATAAAACAGCAAATTCTGAAATTAGAAACACTCATGTAAAACTAAATTTATTTGGAAAAATAAATTTTCTTGAGCATATAGAATTAGTGATTAAATAAATACTGTATATAATTATTTTTAAAATTATATATCTTGGAAAAATCTGTTTATAATATATAAAAATTAGTTTTGTTGATTCAGAACATATAACATTGATCCTAGTTCTGAAAAAAATTATTTTTAAATTGTAACTGATTTGGTGCAGTAATTTTTGCCACAAGAACTAAATTTATTTTATAATGCTTACCTATTTTCTAAATATAATCATAAAGCTAAGACGATTTAATCTAAAATAGCATATTTTCAACATATTACAATAACAATATATATCAGATATTAACAATAAAAATTTTTTCAATTTATTTTCAATTCCAGTCCTATATCAAATTATATGATATAAATAAATTTTGTTTATAAAAACTGCAATGTTTCATAAAAAACATGTCTTATTCATACATATTTAAGACAATGTTTGCTGCAACAATGTAATAATACTTTTTAAGTATTCACTGCCAAGTACATAGGGTTTTAAATTAAATTTAGATGTATGCTGGCAATTTTAATGACTATAAATTTGAATAATTTTACAGGGTGTGATATATAAATACAATAGAAACTTGATTATCTGAATATTTTTTCAAAAAAAGGAAAAAAAACTAGAATATGTAGTGTTGTATATACCATAGAGTATAATACACAGAGAACCAAATTCTTCACATAACTGGTAATTATTACATCTTCTTTTGATTATAACACTGCAAAACTATGTCTTATATATAACATTACATTAAATTTTGAGTAAATTAATTTACTTTCAAATACAGTAATTGCATTACAGAAACTTTAAATGAATGGTGCTTGATATACTGAAAACACAAAAACATGTCTGAAATTTCATTTATCTGCAAGACCTCAGTCCTATCAAGTTTGGATAATCAAGTTTCCACTGTAATTTTTTTTGTTTGTTTTAATTGTATATGAAACTTTTTAATAACATATACAGTATCAAATTTTTTTATTACTAAACTATTGTGTGAAATTTTGCTTCTTAGATATGAATTGCCAATTACAAAAACGCAGAAAAGCACTCTAGTTGCAAAGCCAATACTCATCAGTTATGTACGTGCAGAAGCTGTAAATTATGCCTTAGATTTAAAGAAAGAACTTAGTAATTTAGGATTCAGTGTATACTTGGTATATTAAATTTTTTTACTTTTATTGGAAAATCAAAATTTTAAGATTATAACAACACTATTTTTATAATATCATAGGATGTGCATGAAATAAAAACTGGAAGTGATTGGCAAGATGCATTAAACTATGCTGTTAGCAATTGTAAAGTATTTGTACCACTAATAACTTCTAGGTATGGAAAAAGTCGCTGGACCAATAGAGAGGTTTGTAATTGTATTCCTTTTATAAATTAACTTTTATTTAATTGAAAATTAAGTCCATTTTTCAAATAATAATGGATATAAACTATTTGTTAATGAACAAAATATGTTTTTTGATTTAAACATATATGCAGTACAAAATTTTATAAACAGATATCTTCTTTAAAAAATAAATTTTGTATTCAAAATANCAACTACTGGAAACAGTCAACAATAGATGTCCCTACCCTATATATTGCTATAATTGTTTTAATGAGTAAATGCTAAATATAAAAATATTTTTTAAATTAATAAAATAAACATTTACTGTTGTAATAACTTGATTTTAATTCTTATACCATTAGAAATCATTCAATGAGCAATGCTGATTTTTGTATGATACTTTATAGTTATCTGAAATATGTAAAAAAAAAAAGAATATAAATCATCTTTGATTTATTTAATAAAGAGAACAACTTATTTATATTCTAAGTTATATGAACAATCATGAGGTAACTAGTAATTTAGTAATTAGTAACAGTAGTTCATACAAACTATTTAAATATGTAAAAAAAAAAAGAGATTCAAGAATACTTTTTTCCTGTTTCGTTTAAAACTTTTTGTTCTTTAGGTAAAACTAGCAGATGTACTTGAGAAATTTATAGTTCCAGTTAATTTCTTGGATCATTGGCCTCCTGAATGTTTGGCAATACAGTTTGCATCAACTCAATACATTTCATCAAAACTAGCAGGTGAAATTAGTAAGAACAAACATTTTTCTTCCAATTTTATTATTAAGGAAAAATTTCATTTCATTTATTTAATTCATTTATAGATAAAATAAATGATGGGAAAGAAAAATCACAAGATTCTCGTGTTTGGGATCAAACTTGTGTAAAAAGGGTTTCCAAAGAGATTGCAGATAGATGTAAGCAGATGTTTAAAAGGAGTTCTATATTAAGGAAGAAAAAGGTAAATTTTGTGTATTAATATATTAAAATAAATGGAAAATTAGTTGCAACACACAGTATGTTATTACACTTTGTTTTGTTAAATTGAAATGTCAAGATAAATCTATTCTTGAAAATTTTGTTTCTTCTTTTTTTAAATACTTTTATGCAAGTTTCTGCTTATTTCTAAGTTACTTAAGCATTCTTTATCTGCTCATTTTACAGAAGTGTAAACTTTATTTTTAAACTGAAAAGAATATACCGTAAAGAGTAGGGTTTCCAAGTAACTTTATTAATTTTTTTGTTAACAATTTTTAAAAAGTTCCAAAAGAGTAAATGCAGTTTTTATATTCATGAGAAGACAATAAATTTTGACAGCTTTTCAAATATGCTCTTTCAATATTTAAAACCAAAAAGAACATAAAAGGAGCTTTTTAAAAAACTATTGTAAAATAATACTAAAGTCAAATGAAAATAAAATTGAAATGAAGTTAATTTGATTCTGTTAAAAAGAAGGAAGGTTACCATTAGAAAATTTACAGAGTGGATTATATTATGAACAAAATAATAAATAGTTAAATAATAAAATTAGTGTATAAACATCTTTATATAATAATTACTATTAGATTTTTAATTATACAATATGATATTATATAGTTAAAAACTTTGATAAGTAATTATTTTGTTGATTTTATTATTTACTAGGTTAATATTAGTCAACATATATAAATTATTCAACTTTTAAATATATTCTAAAAATTTTATTGCAATTATATTTTAAAATATATAGTAACTATATCATAATTTAGTAAATGTATATTACAATCTTATAGAAGTAAAGCTAAAATAACCATTTCTACAAGTTTTTTCTTATTAAAAGTTAAATATTTTTTTAAAAATGTTGTTTACAATTGCTATTAAAAATAAAATGAAAAAAATAGTAATTCATGTACTTATATTAAATTTAATAATGTAATTTTAAATTAACAAAATATTTTTCCATTTAATAATTTGACTTGAACAATCAGTGACCGTATTAGACAATTTAGATTGAAAGAATTATATTTAAAATTATAACTGAACTTTGAAGTTATTGGAGTATATTTACAATATTTTTTAATATTATATACAACTAGTAGCCCGGGACGCCCCCTAGTGGGCGTTTTAGCAGTATTACAAATTCCTATAAGGCATGTTTAATGCACTTAATATATGAAAGTTGTGTGTGCTTAATTTTTAAGTTTGATGTACTTAATATATATAAATGTATACAACTGTTTCTTTGGTCGTGCCATGAAAGGTTTCTATTAATATATTAAAAAATTAGCTTAACTATTTCAAACCCTATCGTTTTATCGTAGCGGTTCAAATCTATCCGGTTTTTCGTTATTCGTCCCCTAGTGAACATTACAGGCATTCCGTGACAATAATAAATTCCTATTACAAATATAATGATTTATTTATATTGTTATATTGACCAAATAATAATTTATTGGCCAAATGAATAATAATAATTTATATTGTTCATTTAAATAATAATTAAAATTGTTAATTTAATTTGAATGTTTTAAATATGACACACGATAGGGGCGCCTCTAGTGTCCGTTATCAAACGGTTACGGGACAGACGGACGGAAGGAAGGACGGATGTATTATCGAAACTAGATACTTTAAAACAAAAATGAATTTCATTCCTGCTACATTTTATTAGTTTTATAGAAATTATTAAAAGGTTTCATTAAAAATAATTAAAAGTAATATAAAGTTGAATTTATACTATCAAAGTAATAATGGAATGCAAAAAGAAGGGCATGCAAAAAAGCGGACCCTGCATAGAAGCAGGACTTCAACGCTAGGAAGAAGAAAGTAATAATGGAAATAAATCTGAACCAAAATTAAAAATCATTATTCAAATTATTTAAAAGTTCTTTAATAAAGAGATGAATTAATCAAGATAGCAGTCCCAATCAAAACTGCTGCTGATGATGATTATAAGTTTATAACTTATAATGCATTATAACATTAACAGAATGTATAGTTCAACTTTTATAGAGGTCAAAAAATTAGTTCAGAAAATTTCTTTTATGCATTATATTGTGAAAAGTTAAAATGCCAACAAGATCTTTTTACGAATATAATTAATATTGGTGAATTGTTACTGTTTCAATCTTTAATATTTATCATGAAGTTATAGTTACATTTTAAAATTATAATTATCCATTAATTTTCAACATTATAGATTATACATAAATACTTTAGATAGCAGGAAGTGATGATGGATATATGTAGTCCTAAAACATCTTTTCTTGAATAAAATTACAGCTTTGCAAAAATTGTATTTAATTACAGAAATTAAATTTGATTATAATTAATTGAATTAATTTGTTGTTGCAGATTGTTAAATAGCTTAGGCAGAATTTTAATTTACGACAGTTTAAAATTTTGAAATCTGAATATTTAATATTTTTTCAAATTCAATTATTAAAATTTAGAAGTAAATTAAAATATATTTCAAAATAAATTTTAAAATTAATTTTAATTGTATTTTTCAATTTATAATTGTTCTTTGAAACAAACTTATTTATTTTAAATTAGTTTATTACAAAGAATTAATTATAAATGTGTTCATTTTAATTTTACTGATATATCCTAGATTTACTAAATTTTGTTATATCTTTGTATATTGTAAGTTTGAAGAATTAAGTTTTGAGACTAGTTATTTCTTGTTAGTTGGATTAGTAATACTGTTATGCCAACTGTAATTTCACAACATAGAGTTGAAACTTGGCTGAATGATCTCTACTATATTTATTACTAGCACATTTGTATGTCTAAAATTTTTTAAAATAATAGCAATTGAAAACTTGAAATGTAAATAATTTTATAAACAGATCAAAGAAGATAAATTTTTTAATTTTGGAAAAACTTTATCCCCATTCCATCTTAGTAAAAAAATTATCTGGAAAGGAAACATAAAACAAATTTAGAAGATCCTCATATTTCATGATTCAGCATCTATTTTAATCAATAGATGTGCTGTATGAATGAAGCATGTTGAATTACAAGAGAATAATTTGAAACTTTTTAACTGTTCCATGTTCATGTGTGTTCATAAATTTTAGTCTCAAAATTTAATTATCTGACCTTGTATATTTAAATAAATAGTTTATTTTTTCATTAATATTTTTATAACTTAAAAATGCTTATTATAAAAAAAATATTGAATTTGTCTGTAATAATTTATGTATTTTATAAAACTTTCAGGTTATAATTCCACGAATTTCATCTCCATCAGATGATGTAAGAAATAAACTACCATCTGTTGATAGTAATAAAAAATTAATAGTAATAAGTGCTCATCCAAAACAAAAATTTATGGTAAGCTTTTAATTATGTTATAATAAAGTATATTTCTGACTTTTCTTTCTTTCTCAGCATTTGTATAAATGCTTGAATCTGGCAATTTCAATATGAAAACTCAAAATATTTTTTGCTGAATACACACACAAACTCTCATCAGCTAGTCATTTGAATTCATATCTTAAAAAAGTCTAAAATGTTTTATTATGCAAAGTATGAAATTCAGAGAAAAAGATAAATCAGTAATGTATTAAAAATTAATGTAAAATTTCATATTTCTATAATCAAATAAATATCTAATTTGCTTTATTCATATTTACTTTTAAAAAAATAATTAGAATATAATTATTTTACGGATTAACTAACTAAATCTTAGCAAATTAATTTTTTTGGCTGTCTTGATAATTATTATTATTATTATTAAATTTTAGTGTAATCAACTGAAAGTATTGTTTGAGCAAGAAGGTTATGAAGTTTGGTGTTCCATTGAATTACAAGATTTTCCAGATCAAGTATTTTCAGATACTGTGGATAGTTCTGATCCTAAAACTCCAAAAAATCTTGAACTTGCACCAATTCCAGAAGGAGAGAGTGTTTTTAGTCAAGCTTATAAAAATATTGAAAAATCTATAGAAGAAAGCAAGAAAAGTTATGCTTCACTGAAATCAGATTATGATAGTATTGGTAAGTTTTAATGCTATAAGTTCCAGTCAAATTATCTGTTATCATAATTGGTTTGCTAATTATAATTTGATCATAATAATAAATAGAATTATCATAACTTTAATTTATATTTTATAATTTATTTATATGAGAAACACTATTAAATTTGTAACCATTTGATTGATGAAGAAAGGCAAAAGGAAACAGTAAGATTTAATAAACAAAATCTTCAATAAAATTTTTTAAAAATTATTTTACTTTCTTAATATAATCAAAAATGTTGTCTCACTTTTTATTGAAATATTTTAAATAAATGTCAACTCATTTACATTTAAAATATTTTCCTGTTTATAAAACTTGAAAACAAAACTAATTAATTTAAGATAAGCATTCTACATCTTGTTATCAGCATATAATTTTCATAGTAAGTATTTTTGATCTAATCTAGTGCATTTTCGGTTTTCAACCATTGTAATCCAATGATAGAGCAGATGAACTAAATTAGATCAAAAGTACTCATTACTGTGAAAATGATATGCTGATAACAATGTATAGTGTCTTTATATAGTTAGAGCATTAACCAGTTGATTCTTCACAAACTAAAGTTTTTTGTGAAAAATCAACCTTGTTACTATTTGTTTACATCATCAGCACACAGAAAAAAAAATCTTATTACGTAATAACAAAATAATAATAATTTTTAAAAGAGAAAATATAAGAGAATTTTTTTAAACGAAATTTTAAATGTTTAATCTAAACTTTATATTCATTGCTTGCTTAGCTGTAAAAATGACACTTTACATTGTAAATTAATCATAATTTAAGTTATTTTATCATAAAAAATTCATATTATCATTTTTATTAATATTATATTATCATGAGCTTACTTCAGATTTATTNTATAATTTTTTTTTCAGAGAAAAATCAACTTATTAATCAAGCTTTTAAAGATTCAGAAAATAGTATGGATGAGTGCAAAAGAAATTACATGTCAAAAACTGATTTTGATTTAGTTGGTAAAGAAATGCATTTTATTTCAGTATTATTATTAAAGTTCTTAAAAATTTATAATTCATTGTTAAATATGCTAAAATAAATTTTCTAATGCATTATTTAAAAATGTATATTGATACATTTGCATCCCAATAAGTATTTAAGCAGTTTTAATATAATTAATTAGCAAATCAGAAAATCATATTTATTAAATAAAATATCTATATTACAATTATTAGTAAAATTGATTATCATCTAAGTATATCCAATTTTGTAAATTTGTATTTATTTTGTTTGTTTATTAAAAATTTTATTTATAAATAGACTATTTGATAAAGTGATATATACAGTATTAAAAATATACTTAATGATAAGATTTAAAAATATGTACACAAATTTATTTATTAAGCATACTGTATTAAAATTATTATAATTTATTCATTTTGTCTTATTATTGAGAATATAAAGAAATGAGAACTTTTAATTGATCTTAATGAAAAATTATTTTATTTGGTTTTTTTTATTGTAATACATATTTTTAGAATCATTTTATATTTAATTAATCCTTTGGTACTTTTCTGTTAAAGGGACACCAGTCCCTATATAAAATACATTGTAAAGAAATGGCTATTTTATTGTCTTAAAATATATTTTAATAGAAATGTATACTACTTGATGTAAAACATTGTATCAAAAAAGATACAAAAAGATGCAAAGCAGATCAGGAATTTAAAAAGTTTTAATATTTTTGGTTTTGTTTTAATCCATCTTTGTGATTTTATTCAAGTTTTAATTATTTTGTGTTTTATTAAATCTACTTAACTTTCATTACTCTCACGTTTCCATTATGTCAATAAGGTAATGGCATCATGCATTAGATTACAATTATGTCTGGTGTCACAATAACAGAAAAGTAGCAATCTTTCTTACATTATAACTTGATTCCTCATGTTAAAAGATAACTTAACAACAGGAATCAAGTTATAATAATTACTTAAATTATACTTTAAATGATTAATATATTTTTAATTAATAAACTTTAATTTAATTATACTATTATATAAAATTATATCATAAGTCTCTTATTTCATCAAAATTTATCTATTAGTTTGAAAAGTTTTGAACAATACATGAAAAATGAGAAATTCAATTATTTTAAAATGAAAGTGTAAATAGTTACAAAGATAAAATGAAACATTTTTAAATCTTAAAATTACCTCAGACTTAACCTACGGGTTTGTGGTTCTTTAAAATTATTGTCATTATAAAGCTTGAAAAAACTAAAAGAAAACAAAAATTTTATAGTATAGTTGTGATTTCATATATCATTAATTCAGATTTTAAGGCTATTGTAATATCTGTACATTAATACATTACAGTGTACCAGTATTTTTAATGACTAAATTCATGACTTGAAATATAAGTATTTTGCTTGGTTATTCTTACATACTCACACTATTTTACAAACTCATAGGTGTAAAGATTTTTCTACAGAATTCTATTCATAATCTATATTATAGATTTAGTTAAAGCTATGATGTCATCTCTATTGGCTTTTGTAAAATATAAATAATTTATTTATGAAGAAAAATTTTTAATTTTATACTTTGGATATTTTAAAAGTTGATATTGACATTTATAATGTTAAAATCAGAATTAAGATTTTGAAAATTGAACTTCTGTATGTAGAATTTAGGTTTTTAATGTATAGCCAATAAAAACAATTTCAATATTATAAATAAAAGTACATTTTTGTTTAAAAGATATGAACATAATTATTTAAGTTAAAAATTTTTACAAAAGTTTTAACACAATATCTAACTAATCATGGGAAACTACATACCATATATTGAATAGAAAAGGTGTATAGTTTATTTTCTGTAAAATTTTAGTACCTTGTCTTTATTATTATTTTATTTAGAAATATATAAATTTAAATATCTTACAATTACATATATTTATAGATAAAAGACAGTTGACTAGATTAGCATCTATGGCTAGTGACATTAGTCAAGTGTCAACACTTACTTCAGATAAAATAGAGCAACTACAGAAATTTCAACAAAAAGCAAAGCAAGCTGGAGTTATAATAGTAATTATTTCTGATGCCTATACACAATCAAAAACTTCTCAACAACAAGTGAGTTTTCACTTTTTACTTTTTTTAATAACCTATAATAATTAAATAAACAAACTTTCAATTTAAATTTTAGGTGTTTTATTGTGAACGTAGAAAACATATTGTTGCAATCAAATTTGATGAAAGTCCATTGCCTTATTGGTATGGTATGCTCATGGGAAATGACATAATCACTGTAAGTGAATAAAGTAATAATTAGGAACATATTATAACATTAAATTATAATAAATTTGTTTATTTTTTTTAGAATATTAATAATCCTCAGTTTATTACAACTTTGAAAATGAAAGTTAATAGAGCATTAAATCCAGCAACAGAAGTAGCTCCTGAAGGAGCAGCTGTTGAAGCCAAGATGCAATATTATGTAAGAAATTATAAATGTTTTTATAATTCATAAAAAAACAAATATCATGAGAAATAGCTTAATAGAAATTAAACTAGTAGATAAGAATTTTCTACTGAAATTTTGATGATATCAAACAGGAAAAATTCTCTTTTAATGCTGTTTTATTAAATAAAATATAGTATAATAAATTGCAAACACTTTTGGTAAATAAATTTATCAGGCAAAAAGAAAAGTGATATTTGTACTTAATTCTAGTTATGTTATATTTCAATGTTTGTCTATCAAAAGTGCTTACAATTCATTGTTATACTGTTTTTTATTTATTAAAATAACACTAAATAACAATTTTTTCACATTTTATTTTTTAAAATAATAAAATTTATTTAAAATTTCAGGTTAGTTTTGTGCAGAAGACTCTTCCTCAATTAGATACATGTGTGTATATTGCAGGAAGCAGCAATTTAACAAATCAGAAAACAAAAGACATTTGCATGTAAATTTATTAATATACTTCATATGAAAGTTTATATGGTTTTTATACATGTATTGAAATGATTTTAAATATATTATTTCAGTGCTATTGGAAGAGAATTAGCAAAAATTGAAAACATTATAATAGTTACTGGCGGTTGTTATGGTGTACAAGAATTAGTCTCAAAAAGCTTCTTTGAAGCAAGAGAAAATAATAAAGATCCAGGATATCTCCCTGCAGAATCATCTGTAATTCACATTCTTCCTACAAAAGATTCACAGGTTGGTTATTATTATTTTTTTAGATAAATACAAAATGAAATAAAATAATTTTATGATAACTTCTTTCCAATTATAGAATTATACAGCTAAGATGCATCAGAATCCTGATGGAACTTTTGAAGCTATGTCTTTTGGAAAATCCATTTTTGTTGGTGATAGTGTAAAAGAAAGAGAGAGTGCTGTAGCACGTCTGTTTGATACTTGCATTGTAATTGAAGGAGGAAAAGGAGCAGCTCGTGAAATTGGAGAATTTGTTTGGAGTGATCGTTTTATAATTCCAATTATATCTACTGGTGGTGCTGCAGGTGGAAATTTTGGTGTGCCAATAAAGATATTAATGGTAATATTTTTAATATCAGTGGTTTTCAAATCAAATAATGTTTTTCTCACGGTGAAAAATGTTTTCAATGAAAGAATTCCACAGATATTTAACTTTTTCTTTTGATAATTTTCTTCATAGAATTATTCTAGAAAAAATCCATTTTTAATATAAAATTCAGCTAAGATGATAAATGCTTTACTTGTGTTTAAGTATTTATTATAAGAGTGCAAATCAAAATTATTTATTTACTTACTAAAGTATTCATTCAAATGACTATTTCCCCATTGCTTCAAGTGCTAAATAATACCATTTTGTGGATTAGATGTGTCTATAATAGACAATTCTGAGACTACGTATTTAGCTTATTGCAATATTAGTAAATTCATTTAAAATGTATACACTGATATTTTTATTTATTTTGAAATTTTCAGTAAAATTTAACAATTATTTACCAGTATAAAGCAATTATTTTGATAAAGATATAGAGATAGTCAATGCATATTTATAGAGATTAAATCTTGTTAAAAAGTAACTATAAATTATAAGGATATACAGTGGAACCTCGGTATACGTCTGCTTTAGAATACGTCAAATTCGGAATACGTCCTGTTTGGACAAAACAAATTTTGCTCGATATACGACTTTTGTTCGGTATACGACTTAATTATACGCGCCATCTATGAACAACTGTCGGTGTACTAGACCAGACTAGACGTTCGCGGTGCCACAGTTTATAACTTTGTTAGATTTCTTCTGATTTTAATTTGTAAGTAAAATTTTATTATTAATCATGAATTGCAAGAAGGCAAATGAAAAGCAACAGAAAACTAAAAAAATTACTAGAATCACAACTGAAAAAAGAGATTGTTGAGAAATACGAAGGTGGCATGCGTGTTCGAGATTTTAACTGTTGCATACCGTATTCCGAGAACAATGATATCGACAATCGTGAAAAATAAAGACATTATTAAATCTGCTGACATTGCGAAAGAGTTTAAATCAATTTCTAAACAGAGATCGAAGACATTAAATCATGTTGAGAAATTGCTTTTGCTTTGGATAACTGAAAAACAGTGTGCTAGAGACACCGTATCAGAAGCAATTATTTGCGAGAAAGCTACAAAAATACATGCTGATCTCATGAAAAATCAAGCAGGAACTAGCCAGGAAAGTGAGGTGTTTAAAGCCAGCCATTTTTTTTACATGAGAACGAATTAATCATTTTTACATTACTTCTTATGGGCAAGGTATACGTCCTATTCGGTATAAGTCCAACAATCAGGAATGGATTAAGTCGTATACCGAGGTTCCACTGTATTTTAATATTTTCATATCCATATTGATTCTGTCAATTTTACTTAATAACTAAATTTGAAAATTTAATAAAATTAAAGAGAAAAAATATTAAAATTTGGAAACTATTATTAATATATATTTAAATTTCATTAAAATTTTATAATTTAAATTTTCAGGCACCACCCTGTGTTTCAGAAAATGACTGGTCAGTTTTAAGTGAAAAAGAAGCTAGTCCAGATGATGTTTCAAAATCAGTACTGAACATAATTCTAAGTGTAAAAAAATCAATTGTTTTATATTCTCAAAGTGTTGATACTACCAACAAAAGTAGAAGGAGGTCAAGAAAATCAAAGAAAGGAAGAAATAAGCCAGAAACTAATAACAATTTTAACAGTTTACCATTAACAAAATCAAATTCTCATCAAATGGATGCAGAAATGAACCAAGTTGAAGAATTTATATCATTGAAAAAATTTGACAAAACATCTCGTTGGCAGAAGTTTTTACATATATTTTCAGCAACAAGAACAGAATCCAGTTAACTCTTAATATTGACAGCAATTTAAAGCTCAATCAATTGTAAATAGATTATATTAATTATTGTAATATTTATTGGATATGTAACTTTGGTTTAATTCCAGTACAAATATCTTGTGGGTGCAAGTATAACAAACATTCCATGCAAAGAAAGTGCCATTTAAATGATAATTGCAAATAATAAAGATATCTTAGCAATAAATACTATTATGAATTACATTTAGATATATAGATTTATGTTTCCATGAAAGAAAGAATTTATAATTTTATTACTAAAATATAATATATTATATTTGGAATCTTAGATGATTTTATTTAAAATAAATAAAATTACTTATATTGAATTTTATTATTATATTTGCATGTAAATTTATTA